GGCATATGAACGACCTAAAGAATAGCACGCGACGAGATAAGGTGAAGGATCTACAAAAGGCCTGGACCTACACCTCAATAACTTACAGTCTTTAAAAACAACCAGCAAATAAACAAACTAGTAGGATAAGGCATTACGAAACGGCTAGTCGAAGTTACTGTCACCTAATTTAGTCATAGTTAAAAGAAGGTTTCTGACCTTTGAGCAGTAGGTGGAACGTGGGTGGCGGGAGCATATCACGGAGTAGGCTTCACTAGCGCAAGGAAACGAGAGAGGGAAAAGAACAAGCAAACCATAAGAGAGTGACATTGCAGTCGTTAAAAAATACGTTCAAAAGGTTACGACTTTTCTACTAGTAAAATGAGAAGCACTATGCATTCCTATCAGTATCAAGTGAAGAGTACAAATGCAAGTACGAATGCGAAGGGTCGGAACGACGCAAAAAGTCGCGTACAGTTGGCAGCATCTAGACCGTCAGAACAGAAGCATCGGGCAGCTGCAGCAAGGAAGAATTGGCGGGAACATGTTCGTAACCGGTTCCCGCGTCGCACGGTTGATTTTGAATGTAATAAGCGAATGTACCCCTTAGAGTACATGGCTAGCTATGACGTCTTGTTTTCCTCTTGTTTTATTACATGAACTCATGTATGCCTTTTTTATAACTACTTCAGTCATTTTAAATTTACTCTGACCTGAGGTCAATCACTTCTGTTGCAATTCACTCGGTGCGAACCTTCTTGAGGAGATTCTAGGCACGATCAACCTTCTGATCGCAACATGGTATCAGAGCGACTCAGGAATCCTTCGCACTGCCACCCCCGAATATCGCGGCGATCTAAGGTGGAGTCCGGCACACGCTCATGCGTAAGAATGACCGGAGGATGAGGAGGCAAAGGAAATTGCTATGGGTTGAAGCTCCAACCAATCCGGTTGCGACATCCGAGGCGACGACTACGATAAGCTCCAACACACTCGAACAACTACTTCAGCGATTGTTAACACTGGAGCAAGGCCTCCAGACATTGCGAAATGGAGATGCGGGAACCTCCTCCCAATCCACTCAACCGGCCGCGACCGGCCGCCAACTTTCTCCCTCGACACAAACGCCTCAATACCAAAGGTCCCACGCCCAATTGATGATGCAATTCTCTTAGCTCAATCAAGGTTCTTGAACATATAAAAAATATAGACAAGTACCATCATTGACGGCAAAGATTTCTACACTTGGAGCTTTGAGCTGGAGTTGCTCCTGCAAAATGCACCGATCTTTTCACTATTTCGACGGTACCTACGCGGGACCCTTGGCCGACACTGACGACGCCAGAGCGTAGTACTACAACGACTCGGTCATGGCATACAGCGTGTTGCTGCGCAAAATGTCATCGACGGAGCAGCTGGGCTTGAACTTGGGGGACCTAATAAATACATACGAGGACGGGACGGTCAGCATGACGAGCAAGCAACAGCTGACAAGGGAGCTGGTCATTTTGGAAACAGTTAACTTTGCCATGAAAGCCTTTGAAGCGGCGCCAAAGGAATGGAGAGATATGTTACTCAAAAAGGTGACGGCATAAGAGATCCTCGGGCAGACGGCCCTGTTCAGAACCAAGTCATATAGCACCGGGGGTTGGTTGCACTGGCAAGCGGAGAGTGGTGAAGGAGGAATTATAATGGCAAGATTGGTGCAAATCGATGATAGGAGGGTGACTCAATCAAATTATGCGGTAGTACGTCCGATTGATGTTGGAAGGATAACACCTTTTTTTATGGCGGACGGGAAGGTATCGTGCGAACTGGGCGCGCCGATGGCAAGGTTAAAATGGTCCTTTCTTTGTAAGGAGGGCCTCTCAGTGAGGCTGAAGAAGATAAGGTAGGCAATTAGCAAGCCAGTCTAGAAACCCCAGAAGCATTTTCAGCTGGAGGAGGCTTGGGGGAAGCAAATCGATTTAGGGTTTAGGGTGGAGAGATCGCTTCAACTCATGAATCCTGGGGCGGTGGCAGGCTCGGTAAATGATCTCCTGTTCGGAGACGTCAGCACGAAGTCGGGTTTTCTGGAGACAACGCTAGTGGCAATCACGTTCCACCGCATCTGGCTGGAGATGTGCGGCGCAGTCCTTCGGAAGGAGGGCTTCCAAGCCAGGAAAATGGCTCGGTTGGTCAACACAGACTTTGCGAAACATGTCAAGATCTACAGTGGGAGGAGGCGCGTGCAGGGGAAACCAAAGAGCTAGACAAAAATGGACAGCTGGGGGCATTTGGAGAAGGACGAGGCTCGGGTGCTGAGGAGGATCTACGGTGATGAGAGCAAGATGAGCTGGAGCCAGGGCTTCAGGGCAATCTGGGAGGACCCGAGGTCCCGATATAAGACGCCATGAATGGAGGCGGGAGGGTAGTAGTATTTTAGCCCCATGACATTCCCTTCCCCCGGAATCAGTTACGACTGACGATGTATGCATACCCATGTAATACATCAATACAAAAAAAAAAAAAAAAAAAAAAGGAGCAGCTCGGCGTACGTTCGTACAAGACATCACCTGCTCCGGCACTCAAAACCTTGCGGCACCTCATAAAGGTGTATCAGCCCGGGGACTCGGTTTCGTCGAACCGTCTCCTTCTCCATAAAGATGGGACCCGGGGAGAAGGCTAACAATTTTATAAATCATTGTTGAAGCATACACGATCAAATCGCGAAGCACGGGAGCTCGATCCTTGAAGAAATCTTCGTCATCATCGTTCTCGCAGGACTCGGCGCCGAATGGCGACCCTGCAAGGTGCTTCTCCGGCAATTGGGGGCTATCTCGGAAGCCGCCTTTTGCGCTGCCCTTCTCGTCGAACAACAGGATATGGATCAACAGCAGCGCCCCACGCCGCGACGAGAACAAGAACGACTCGCCTTCTACGCCGACAACAAAGAACAGAGACGACTGCGGCGCCTTTACTGCAAAATATGCAGAAATTTTGGGCAAAAGCGGAGCCATGCAATTTCCGCTCCAGCCCTCGCCAGTCCAATCCAAGCACTTGGGCATGTTGACAGAAATTGGGTGTTGGCCCCGCCCTCGCTTGGGCGAAGCCGACGTTGTGGTCGGGTAAGTGGGAGGTGCAGCTGACCGCCCGCAGAGGTTGACGCCAGCCTCGGCATGCACGACAACGAGGTTGGTTAACCTGCGCGTTGCGACGCTGCCATCGACGGGAGCTGGCGGCCTATTTCGACGGGGAGGTCGACGAAGGTGGTTGACGGCCTATGTGGGACTATTGAGGGGCCATCGAAGATGGGAGTTCGACGGCAGCAGCTGACTGAGCTGGTCGACGGAGGAGTCCGTTGACCAGGGTGGGCCTCGACAAAACTGGTGGTCGACGAGGGAAGTCGTCGACCAGGGCGCCGGGTGGTGGTACCCGGTTGACCAAGTAACCTCCTTTACGAGGTTCTGCGGAGGCACGCAAACGTCGTCGAGGCTGCAATGGTGAAGGCGACCTTGGGCTGGTATCCCGGGGTCGACGTTGATTTTCAGGAGCAATCGTCGTACTTGGCCGACTTGGCACCTGCGCGACGGTGCACAACGTGCTCGACCGTCGCTGCGCACCTGCAAAGTCATACATGCACGCACCCATACACACATACATACACGCACACCCACGCACCCACAAATAACCATGCGCGCGCATGCAAATGCATACACACATGTGCGGTCACACGCACACACATACACACAAACACACGACCACGCACGCATGTACATACATACGCACGAATACACACACACTCGCACGCACACACACACACACACACATACACACACACACACATACACATATACACACCCGTGCATACGCATATACACACACACACGCACACATGCACACTAACATACACACATACACACATACACACGCGCGCACATACACACACACATACACATACACATACACATACGTGCACACACACACACACACACACACACACACGTACGCACGCACACACACACGCATGCACATGCGTACGCGCATGCACGCACGCACGCACGCACACACGCATACACACACACGCGCACGCACACACACACATACGCACACGCGCGCGCAAACACATACACACACATACACATACACACATACACACGCACACACATACATACACACACACGCACGCACACACACACACACACATACACACACACACACATACACACACACATACACACACACATATACACACATACACACACACACACATACACACACACACACACGCACACAGACACACACACACACACAAATACAATAGACAGACACACATGCACAAGCTTGCGCAACATGCACAATCTTCTCACTTTATGCCATGCTCAGCAAAACGTGTTGAATGGTCAGTAGATGTTCTTCACTGATTACCACTTGTCGAGCTTAGGGCGTATTCCTATCCTCCTATCAATCTGACCTCCTTTCAAGCTCACACTGAAAAATCCCCTAAACCCAAAACCTCTCGCTACTTTTCACAGGCGAAAGGTACAATCTTGATAGGAGGTGGCTCGATAGGAGGCCGTAGGAACACGCCCTTAGCTCGCGCATCACCGTGCACACCATTTTGATAGTTTGTTCTTTATATAGATATCCCGACTATAGGAGCCCTAAATTTGGTGCCAGAAATGTAGCAAACCCCATATACTTGCAGATCTCCTGCTGCTATCAAATCTGTATTTCTCTTTATGTAATGTTAGCTCTAGCTTTTGCCTTTATACGGTAGTTAGCTCCAAGTTAGCTTGTTCCGTTTCATGCGTGGTACATATAGGAACTGATTGTAGAAGGTTGCTCAAGTGCATGTGTGTGTCCTCAATCTCAGAGTCCCCGCCTAGGACAACTAGAAACCGCGACTCCAGATCTGCTCCAACGAGTTAGTGCGACTTGCGATTGACACCTTATTTTCAGCAGTTCTTCAGCAGGCTACCGTTCGCGGCTCGTGTGGACGAGCTACTTTGGCGTGCGTCGCTCTCGCGCGGCTAGTCGCCATGAGCCGAGGGCGAGCGTATCTCGTCGTCCTTCTTTCGCTACTCGTTCTCGCAGTAGTTTCGCAGCCCTTCGCGAGGCGTCCGCTCATCGCGAATGCCGAAGAATTCGACGACGAGCGGTACGCCTACGACGAGGACGACGACGCAGGCGACGACGACGACATCCCGGCCGGCGACGACGGCGACGTCGTCGCACTGACGGCGGCGACGTTTTCGCAGGCCGTAAGCGATCACAAGCACGTGATGGTGGAGTTCTACGCGCCGTGGTGCGGCCACTGCCGGGCCCTCGCGCCCGAGTATCGCGAAGCAGCGGCGACGTTGAAAGAGCTCGGCGTGCTCTTCGCGAAGGTGGACGCGACGAAAGAAACGGAGCTCGCCGACAAGTACAACGTGGATGGTTACCCGACCATCCTTTTCGCCACTGATGGCGAATTTCAGCCGTTCGGCGCCGGGCGAACCAGGTAGACTCTCTGGAACAAATCGATCTCGCACCTCCGTGTGCTGCGCGCGCGTGTGATGAGGAAAGGCCAGTCTTTGAGAGGCTCCCACAGGCCCCTCAAAGGCCAGCCTTGAAGCTCTCACAGGCGCCTCGTTCGCAAACCCCCTCGCACACTCAGTTCTATCTGTGCTCTTTGCTCAAATCTGACCTTTCAACTCACACTCTTCCTGCAAAAACCTCACCTTCCCACTTCCCTCGTTCTCGCGTGCCCCGCTCTACCTGCTCCTGCTGCTTTCCCCTCGCTCCCCTCGTTGCTGCCTGCTGCTGCAGCGCGGAGATGGTGCGGTGGGTGAAGCGCAAGCTGGGTATGGGTGTGACGGCGCTGGCGCCAGCCGACATTCCCAAGGTGCCCGCGCTGCTCGAGAGCGCTGCTGCCGCTGCCATCGCCCTGGTGCCCTCCCTTGATGTGAGTGTGATGTGGTGGAGTACGGTGCAGTACGGTGCAGTGCGGTGTAATGCGGTGGGTGGGTGAAGGGCAAGCTGGGCCTGGGTGTGACGGCTCTGGCGCCAGCCGACATTCCCAAGGTGGTGTCGCTCATTGAGAGCACCGCCGCCGCTGCCATCGCCTTCGTGGCCACTCTTGACGTGAGCGCTGTGTGGTGCATGCGCTGTGTGGTGCATGCGCTGTGTGGTGCATGCGCTGTGTGGTGCATGCGCTGTGTGGTGCATGCGCTGTGTGCTGTTAACGGGGAGGGGGGGAGGGGGGACAAGGGTGGAGGGGGAAGAGGGAGAGGGGTGGAGTGTGGCCCCACCCTGCTTGCATTGCTTAGCATGCCCGGGACATACTGTCTGCCCTGCCTGTACCTTTATAATGATCAATGAAGGACTGCTTGAGAGGGGAGAGAGGTGGGGGCGGAGAGAGGAAGAGGGGGAGTGGCGGACAGGCAGGCAGATTCAGAGAAACATGGTCGGGAATTTGTGAATGTATTGTCAAGTGCGATGCCAGATTTCCTCCCTCCCTCCCTCCCTCCCTCCCTTCTGCCCTCCCTCCTTTCTTCCCACCCTCCCTTCTTTTCTCCCTCTTCCTACCTCCCTGATCCCTTCCCCATCCGCTTTCCTCCACCCTTCTCTCGTAACTCCTCTCATCCCCCTCCTCCCCTCCCCTCATCCCCCTCACCTCCCCTCATCCCTCCCCTCCCCTCATCCCTCCCCTCCCCTCATCCCTCTGCTCCCTTGCTCCCCCTCCCCTCCCTTCCTCCTCCCCTCCCTTCCTCCTCCCCTCCCTTCCTCCTCCACTCACCTCCTCCCGCTTTCTCTCCCACCAGGGCGGGGAGGCAGCAGCGTTCGGAGAGGCAGCGAGGGACACGGACGGGGTGGATTTTTTCGTCACCACGCACGCTGACGTGGCGGCCGCCTTCGGCCTGCCAGCTGGCGAGCCGCCCGCCCTGGCTGTGGTGAAGAAGGAGGAGGAGCGGCTGGTGGTGTTCGGTGAGTGCACTGCGCACCTCTGTGCGCACGCACAGGTGCTTGGTGTTGCGAGGCTTGAGCTGAGGGGGCTGGTTGTGGGTCTGTCAGTGGTGAAGGACACGGGTGGCAACTTGCCCACACCCCTGTGGTGAAGGACACGGGTGACAACTTGCCCACACCCCTGTGGTGAAGGACACGGGTGACAACTTGCCCACACCCCTGTGGTGAAGGACACGGGTGACAACTTGCCCACACCCCTGTGGTGAAGGACACGGGTGACAACTTGCCCACACCCCTGTGGTGAAGGACACGCGTGACAACTTGCCCACACCCCTGTGGTGAAGGACACGCGTGACAACTTGCCCACACCCCTGTGGTGAAGGACACGGGTGACAACTTGCCCACACCCCTGTGGTGAAGGACACGGGTGACAACTTCCCCACACCCCTGTGGTGAAGGACACGGGTGACAACTTCCCCACACCCCTGTGGTGAAGGACACGGGTAACAACTTGCCCACACCCCTGTGGTGAAGGACACGGGTGACAACTTGCCCACACCCCTGTGGTGAAGGACACGGGTGACAACTTGCCCACACCCCTGTGGTGAAGGACACGGGTGACAACTTGCCCACACCCCTGTGGTGAAGGACACGCGTGACAACTTGCCCACACCCCTGTGGTGAAGGACACGCGTGACAACTTGCCCACACCCCTGTGGTGAAGGACACGGGTGACAACTTGCCCACACCCCTGTGGTGAAGGACACGGGTGACAACTTCCCCACACCCCTGTGGTGAAGGACACGGGTGACAACTTCCCCACACCCGTGGTGAAGGACACGGGTGACAACTTGCCCACACCCCTGTGGTGAAGGACACGGGTGACAACTTCCCCACACCCCTGTGGTGAAGGACACGGGTAACAACTTGCCCACACCCCTGTGGTGAAGGACACGCGTGACAACTTGCCCACACCCCTGTGGTGAAGGACACGCGTGACAACTTGCCCACACCCCTGTGGTGAAGGACACGGGTGACAACTTGCCCACACCCCTGTGGTGAAGGACACGGGTGACAACTTCCCCACACCCCTGTGGTGAAGGACACGGGTGACAACTTCCCCACACCCGTGGTGAAGGACACGGGTGACAACTTGCCCACACCCCTGTGGTGAAGGACACGGGTGACAACTTCCCCACACCCCTGTGGTGAAGGACACGGGTGACAACTTGCCCACACCCCTGTGGTGAAGGACACGCGTGACAACTTGCCCACACCCCTGTGGTGAAAAAGGAGGAGGATCTGCTGGTGGTGTTGTGAGGTTTGAGCTGAGGGGCTGGATTTGGGGCGTGGGTTGGTGGGGTGGGGAATTGTGGGTCTGTCAGTGGTGAAGGAGGAGGCCCGATTTTTGACATCCTCCCCCTACATACCTCATACACACACACACGCATATGCACGTGCACATGCGCACGCACTCGCACGCACATGCATGCACACGCACGTCACACACACACACACACACGCCCACACATACACCCACACGCACATACATGCACGCACATACACTCCTCCATCAGATGATGAGTACCGCAAGGGGGTCCCAGACTCTCTTCGCACCACCTCTCGCCACTTCATCCCACCTTTCCCCCCTCTCTCCCCACCTCTCCCCATCTCTCCCGTCTTCCCTCCCCTCCCTTCCCTACCCCTCTCCCCTTCCCCCCTCCCCCAGGTGGCGACTACAGCAAGGACGCCATCAGCTCGTTCCTGGCTTTCGAGTCAATCCGAGTGTCATTTCCACCCCTCCCCCCACTCTCCCATCTCTCCCCGCCACACGCCCCCTCCCTCCCACCACCCCCATGCACAGGCGGCGAGTACAGCAAGGACGCCATCAGCGCGTTCCTGGCTTTCGAGTCAATCCGAGTGTCATTTCCACCCCTCCCCCCACTCTCCCATCTCTCCCCGCCACACGCCCCCTCCCTCCCACCACCCCCATGCACAGGCGGCGACTACAGCAAGGACGCCATCAGTGCGTTCCTGGCGGCCAACCGGCTGCCGCTGCTGCTGACGTACACCGAGGAGACCTCCGCTGCCATCTTCTCGTCCCCCATCGGCAAGCAGGTGAAAAGGGTGCATGGGTGGGGCGAGGTGGGTGCATGGCACGAGATGGGGTTAGTTCATGGCACGAGATGGGGTGAGTGGCACGAGATGAGGTGAGTGCATGGCACGAGATGGGGTGAGTGGCACGAGTTGGGGTGAGTGCATGGCACGAGATGGGGTGAGTTCATGGAGTGAGGTGGGGTGGGGTGCACACATGGGGGATGAGATGGTTGCATGAGTAATGCAGGGACGATGTGAGGCAGGGCATGAGACGAGGTGGGGGCATGGCACGAGGTGGGTGCATGGCACGAGGTGGGGGCATGGCACGAGGTGGGGGCATGGCACGAGGTGGGTGCATGGCACGAGGTGGGGGCATGGCACGAGGTGGGTGCATGGCACGAGGTGGGGGCATGGCACGAGGTGGGGGCATGGCACGAGGTGGGTGCATGGCACGTCCCAGAGACATGCAGAAGGCCTTATCACAAGCAGGGTTTCGTACCGTATTCGGTAATTGTTTGTTGTCGCATGAACGCAAGCGTATATACGCTGCACGCTTTAGGGTTTGAACGTATATTTCAACTTGAAGGTAACCAACCAAAAGCCAACAATTGTTTTGACACTTTTCCATGGTGTCAGAGGGGGCACTGTGCACAACAGAAAGGTCATATTGAAGAGAGGTGGCGAGGTGTGGAGTGACAGAGCATCGAAGGAGGAGAGAGGAGAGGAAGGGGCGATTGATGGCAGGGGGGGATGAGTGAGGGGAGGGGGATGCGAGTGAGGGGATGGGGAGATGAGTGAGGGGAGGGGGGAATGAGTGAGTGAGGGAATGGGGAGATGAGTGTGTGAGGGGAAGGGGAGATGAGTGAGGGGAGGGGGAGATGAGTGAGGGGAGGGGGAGATGAGTGAGGGGGGGGGGCGGTTGTCCTCTTAAATGCGTCCTCTCCACCCCGCCACTCCAGAGTACTGCTGTTCGCATCAGACAGTGCATTCAAGCAGCTCTCGCCCGCACTCCTTGCGACAGCAGTGCCCCCGTGCTTCTCACTCAAGCTGTCTCCTCCTGAATCCCTCCTTTCTATCCTGTCTCACAGGTGCTACTGTTCGCATTAGACAGTGCATTCAAGGAGCTCTCGCCCGCGCTTTTTTGCAGCAGCCAAGCAGTTCAAAGGCCAGGTGCGTGCTGTGCCTCATTGGTCTTTAAATCAAAGGAGGACGGTGCAAGGAGTGCAGGCCAGGAGCTCTCGCCTGCACGCCTCACATCCCCCTCCCACGCTCGTGCCTCCCATGAGATGGGGCATCAGTCGGTTGGCGGCAAAGACACACCCACCCACTGCAGCATGGCGTTCCTTGTTCTCTTGTCGCTCCGGATGCTTGCATGCATGAGCATACATTTCCCTCAACATTTCACAGACCTGTACTTACTGCTGAAGGTTCCTGTGAATCAAACCTAGTAAACGCAGTCCCTCATTATGATTAGGGTTACAATACATTCTGGCTATTCAAAACGCAGAAGCACTCACCTAACCAGGCTCACTTTTCCATCTTACACGTGCTTTCCTACTAAAGCGACTGGAATGGAGTCAGGCTTCCGCAGCTCACCTGGCCATTGCCGACAAAAGTCGCAGCATGGCGTTCCTTGTTGACTGTCTCTCGTGACGCTCGCATTGCATGCATGAGCACGCATGTCCCCCCCCACAACTGCCATGCTATCGCCCATCAATCCATTCCGTCCCACCTTCCCGTCTCGCCGCCTTGCTGTCATTCCACCCACCCCTTTTTCCCTGTGCCACAGGCCATGTTTGTGTTTGTGAACGCCTCTGACCCCGAGTCACAGCCAGAGATGACGCTTGAGTCGACTCAAAAGTCATCCCTCCCTAGTGCATGCTCATAGCGTTGCTGTCCGTCCTCCATCCCCCTTTTGGCTTTTTCCCTGTGCCACAGGCCATGTTTGTGTTTGTGAACGCCTCTGACCCCGAGTCACAACCCGTGCAAGAGTACTTTGGAGCAGACGCCTCCACCACTGCCGTGAGTGTTTTGAATACACCCCCCTCCACTGTGGTGAGCGCATGACTGCTGTGCTGTTCTCTCTGTGCTGTTCTCTCTGTGCTGTTCTCTCTGTGCTGTTCTCTCTGTGCTTTTCTCTCTGTGCTGTTCTCTCTGTGCTGCTCTCTCTGTGCTGTTCTCTCTGTGCTGTTCTCTCTGTGCTGTTCTCTCTGTGCTGTTCTCTCTGTGCTGTTCTCTCTGTGCTGTTCTCTCAGTGCTGTTCTCTCTGTGCTGTTCTCTCTGTGCTGCTCTCTCTGTGCTGTTCTCTCTGTGCTGCTCTCTCTGTGCTGTTATCTCTGTGCTGTTCTCTCTGTGCTGCTCTCTCTGTGCTGTTCTCTCTGTGCTGTTCTCTCTGTGCTGTTCTCTCTGTGCTGTTCTCTCTGTGCTGTTCTCTCTGTGCTGTTCTCTCTGTGCTGTTCTCTCTGTGCTGTTCTCTCTGTGCTGTTCTCTCTGTGCTGTTCTCTCTGTGCTGTTCTCTCTGTGCTGTTCTCTCTGTGCTGCTCTCTCTGTGCTGTTCTCTCTGTGCTGCTCTCTCTGTGCTGTTATCTCTGTGCTGCTCTCTCTGTGCTGCTCTCTCTGTGCTGTTCTCTCTGTGCTGTTCTCTCTGTGCTGTTCTCTCTGTGCTGTTCTCTCTGTGCTGTTCTCTCTGTGCTGTTCTCTCTGTGCTGCTCTCTCTGTGCTGTTCTCTCTGTGCTGTTCTCTCTGTGCTGTTCTCTCTGTGCTGTTCTCTCTGTGCTGTTCTCTCTGTGCTGTTCTCTCTGTGCTGTTCTCTCTGTGCTGCTCTCTCTGTGCTGCTCTCTCTGTGCTGTTCTCTCTGTGCTGTTCTCTCTGTGCTGTTCTCTCTGTGCTGTTCTCTCTGTGCTGTTCTCTCTGTGCTGCTCTCTCTGTGCTGTTCTCTCTGTGCTGCTCTCTCTGTGCTGTTATCTCTGTGCTGTTCTCTCTGTGCTGCTCTCTCTGTGCTGTTCTCTCTGTGCTGTTCTCTCTGTGCTGTTCTCTCTGTGCTGTTCTCTCTGTGCTGTTCTCTCTGTGCTGTTCTCTCTGTGCTGCTCTCTCTGTGCTGTTCTCTCTGTGCTGCTCTCTCTGTGCTGTTATCTCTGTGCTGTTCTCTCTGTGCTGCTCTCTCTGTGCTGTTCTCTCTGTGCTGTTCTCTCTGTGCTGTTCTCTCTGTGCTGTTCTCTCTGTGCTGTTCTCTCTGTGCTGTTCTCTCTGTGCTGTTCTCTCTGTGCTGTTCTCTCTGTGCTGTTCTCTCTGTGCTGTTCTCTCTGTGCTGTTCTCTCTGTGCTGTTCTCTCTGTGCTGCTCTCTCTGTGCTGTTCTCTCTGTGCTGCTCTCTCTGTGCTGTTATCTCTGTGCTGCTCTCTCTGTGCTGCTCTCTCTGTGCTGTTCTCTCTGTGCTGTTCTCTCTGTGCTGTTCTCTCTGTGCTGTTCTCTCTGTGCTGTTCTCTCTGTGCTGTTCTCTCTGTGCTGCTCTCTCTGTGCTGTTCTCTCTGTGCTGTTCTCTCTGTGCTGTTCTCTCTGTGCTGTTCTCTCTGTGCTGTTCTCTCTGTGCTGTTCTCTCTGTGCTGTTCTCTCTGTGCTGCTCTCTCTGTGCTGCTCTCTCTGTGCTGTTCTCTCTGTGCTGTTCTCTCTGTGCTGTTCTCTCTGTGCTGTTCTCTCTGTGCTGCTCTCTCTGTGCTGTTCTCTCTGTGCTGCTCTCTCTGTGCTGTTCTCTCTGTGCTGTTCTCTCTGTGCTGCTCTCTCTGTGCTGTTCTCTCTGTGCTGTTCTCTCTGTGCTGCTCTCTCTGTGCTGTTCTCTCTGTGCTGCTCTCTCTGTGCTGTTCTCTCTGTGCTGTTCTCTCTGTGCTGCTCTCTCTAAGCGTTCTCTCTACGCTGTTCTCTCTGCGCTGGTCTCTCTGCGCTGGTCTCTCTGCGCTGGTCTCTCTGCGCTGGTCTCTCTGCGCTGCTCTCTCTGTGCTGCTCTCACCGTGAAAGAGTGTTTTGGAGCAGACGCCTCCACCACTGCCATGAGTACATGGCTGCTGCGCTGCCCTCTGTGCTGCTGCTGCATGCCGCAATGAGCTCCATGTGCTGTCATGTGCTGTCATGTGCTGTCATGTGCTGTCATGTGCTGTCATGTGCTGTCATGTGCTGTCATGTGCTGCCATGTGCTGCCATGTGTCACTCGCTTCCATTCCACATGCTCACATCACTTGCCTTATGAGTGCATGTCTGCCCGTGTGTGTGCATGGCTGCCAATGTGGTGTGTGTGCATGCCTGCCCGTGTGTGTGCATGCCTGCCCGTTCGTGTGCATGCCTGCCCGTGTGTGTGTTCAGTTTATGGGGTTCACCATGGGAGGAGGTGAGGACCCCTCAGTGCCAGCAGCAGGGCTCAAATACCGCATGACAGACCACCCCACAGCAGATAACATCAAGGTGAGTGCGCTTGCATTGCATCTGCTCTTGCCTCTGCAAATCATGCTGCTGCCGTTGTGTTTGGTGTCGTTCATTTCTCAATCCTCGACAAGGCAATCTCATGCCCCCCATGGTATCAGATCTGGTCCTGTGTAGCAATAGGACTTTCTCCTCATTCCCTCTCCTCTCCCTGTCTCTCTCTTTCTCTTCTCCCTGCTTGCTCCCCTCCTCGCAGGCCTTCACGCAGAGCTTCATTGACGGCCGTCTCAAGCCCTTCTTCAAGTCACAGCCCGTCCCGGAGGAGGTCAGAACTTTGTGAACAGTGAGCTTGTCAGCTTTTGAGGCGCCTCAAAAGTCAGCAACTTGTGAGCTTGTCAATATCGAGGCTGACGTTGAGAACCGATCTTTCTTTCTCTCAGCCGCCAAGCTGCTTAAGACAATCTCTCATGCTCTGGGGTCTTGGGGAAAGTGGATTGCATCTCATACCAGTTAGAGATCGTATCCCTCTGGGTCTTTAAAAATCCTTTCAACATACACCCTAACTCCTTCACTGTTCATACAGTTTGCGGGGTCTCCAAACCTGCCCTCTTTCTGGCGGGGGGATGCTGGCTGGCTCTTCACCTCTCCTTTTCCACCCCTCACCCGCCATCCCCCCTCCATCCCACACCTCTCCCGTACCCTACCGCTCCTCATGCGCCACGGTGGCAGGACGAGGGGCCAGTGGCGGTGGTGGTGGGGGACTCGTTTGACCCTTTCTTTGCCTCTCCTCCTCGGCTTCCCACCTTCAAACCCCTCTCCCTCCTCCCGCCTTTCCACCCCTCATGCGCGGCGGTGGCAGGACGAGGGGCCAGTGGCGGTGGTGGTGGGGGACTCGTTTGAGCGCATCGTGCTGGACGACATGAGAGACGTGCTGCTGGAGGTGCGCGTTGGGTGGAGGGAGGGGGGCTGAGAGTATGCTGACTTTGAATGGGGTCACCGGGATAAGGAGAGAGGGTGGTGGTGGTGGTGGGGGGGGACTCGTTTGAGCGCATTGTGCTGGACGACACGAGAGACGTGCTGCTGGAGGTGCGCGTTGGGTGGAGGGAGGGGGGCTGAGAGTATGCTGACTTTGAATGGGGTCACCGGGATAAGGAGAGAGGGTGGTGGTGGTGGTGGTGGGGGACTCGTTTGAGCGCATCGTGCTGGACGACACAAGAGATGTGCTGCTGAAGGTGCGTTAATGGGCAAGGTGGGTGGACCAAGGGGAAGGCAGCTGTTGTGGTCGTGGTGCGGGGGGGGGGAGGGGGGAAGGGGGGTGGGGGACTCGTTTGAGCGCATTGTGCTGGACGACACGAGAGACGTGCTGCTGGAGGTGTGTGCTGGCGGGGGGACGCGATATCTTGAATCAGTGTTCATGTATAAGCACTCTCTACCTGTGTGCAGACCTTAGGCGACCATTCTATGGCTCTGCTCTTGTGGCGCCACACCTCACACCATCTTCACCTCGCGTAACCCACCATTACCATTTTCCCCACTCTGCACGCTTCCCACGTTACGTTTCCCTCCCTTCCCACTCTCTTCAAGTCCCCCCCTATTCCCTATTCCCTATTCCCGCTTGCCCCACTCACCCTGCTTCCCCCATTCGCCCCACTCACCCTGCTTCCCCCATTCGCTTTACTCACCCTGCTTCTCCCACTCGCCCCACTCGCCCCTCCCATTTGTCCCTCTTCCCCTGCTCGTCCCTCTCTCCCGATCCGACAGGTGTATGCTCCCTGGTGCGGCCACTGCCAGCAGCTCGAGCCCACGTACAAGAGGCTGGCAGAGCGGTTCAGTGCGGTGCAGTCAGTGGTTATTGCCAAGATGGATGGCACGGCTAATGAGTACCCCGGCCTAGAGGTATGCGTTCCCTTCTTGCTCCCTCCCCTCCTCTCCTCCTCGCTGCCCTCTGATCGTGCTCCCTGCCTTCCTCCCCTCCTCCCCCCCCTCCTATCATGCTCCCTCTCGTCCTTCCATGCTCCCCCCACTCTGCCCATCCCCGTGCCTTCCGATCGTCCTCTTTTCCCTACCCTTGCTCACCCTAGTAATCTATAATCGTTTCTATGATTGTGTCCTAGAGTTTTTTTCAATGTCAGTACGAATCTGTTAGAACCTCTCTGCCCCCCTGCCTCTCTGTCCCCCTGTTTCTCTGCCCCCCTGCCTCTCTGTCCCCCTGTTTCTCTGCCCCCCTGCCCCTCTGCCTCTCTGCCACTCTACCTCTCTCTCCCTGTGCCCCCTGCTGCAGGTGGAGGGCTTCCCCACCATAGTGTTCTACCCCGCGGGGAAAAAGACAGACCCGGTGAGACCAGCCCCGCATGGCCTTTGCCTGCCCGTGCTGCCTGCTTCACAGGCTGCCGCTCAGTGCGCACCATCATGCCTTCAGATGCTGCCATTGCAACGCCTTTGCTTGCATGTGTGGAGCGCATGTGCGCACATGGCAAGTGTTGTACAGCGTGGGCCTTTCTCTGCCCATGCTGCCTGCCCGTGCTGGGTGCATCACAGGCTGCCGTGTTGTGGGGTGGGCAATGGGCACCATCATGCCATCCCATGCTGCCATTGCAATGCCTTGCTTGGCATGTGTGGAGCGGGTATCATACAGTGTGGCAGCGTTGAGAGAGGTTGTGTGGTCATGCCTGTTCATGTACCCCTCTAGGGTGAAAGGCACGTGCTTGTCACTAGCACATAAGTTGCTGGCTAGCACGTGACCTTGTGAGCTTGTGTGACATGTGATGTGTGTGCGAGAAACATCTGCAATGCACCCACAGGTGAAGGTGGCTGCGCGCACGCTCAAGGAGTTCATTCAAGCCATCAAGGACCACGCCCACAACCACTTTCACTGTGTGCCTGTCTCCCATGTTGCCATGTGTGTGCGGCTCATGCTGTGTGCGCCTGCAATACCAACAGGTGAAGGTGGCTGCGCGCACGCTCAAGGAGTTCATGCAAGCCATCAAGGGGCGTGCCTCTACGGAGTTCCACCTTGAGCCCTTGTGTTCGTCTAAGGCATGCGCTGTTCTGGACCTTTCTGTGCCCTTGTGCCTCCTTCCCATGTTGCCATGCTCCAACACAGGTGAAGGTGGCTGCGCGCTCGCTCAAGGAGTTCATTCAAGCCATCAAGGACCATGCCTCCACAGAGTTCCACCTTGAGCCCTCGCCTCTAGATGAGCAGGAGGAGGAAGAGAGTGGGGATGGAGAGATGGATGAGGGGAGAATAGGGGAAGGGGGGATGGAGGGGGAAATGGGGGAGGAGGGGATGGAGGCAGCAGAGGAGGAGGATATGGCGTATGATGGGATGGAGGGGGATGGTGATGGTGAGGAGGAGGATGATGCGTTTGACAAGCTGTTTCACCACGACGAGTTGTAGTAGCGACAGACACAAACGGTTCTCGCAGTGACTGGTTCTGATTCATTAACATAACAACAGTACGCAGGTGAAGCAGAATGCGTACAGGGCTGTGAAGTGGTAGTATTTCCTAACCACACATACACACACCAACATGCACTATTCATGGCTAGGGAATCGGGATTGCTTGCACCTCTCATGCGACCAGCGGCTGGCTAACCAGTGCCCAAACCTCACGGCAAAGCCTTCTTGTTCAGGATTCTTCCCTTCCCAGTAAAAGCAATACAGCTGGAGCACGTGTGAATGTGGATCAGCAGCAACTGCCTACCTGCCTGCCTGCCTGGCCGCAGCAGGTCTGCAATGTGGCTTCACAGCCTTAGGGTACATTGCGAATGTGAAATGCACCAGGGCCCTCCCTAGGATTTAGGGCATCCTGATGCCTCAGGGTAACTCTGCAGAATCCAAAAAAATGCCCTGATTTTTCAGGGCAATTTTTTAAAGCCATCCTGAATTTTCAGGGCTTAGGCAGAATTACATCCTGACCTCTCAGGGCAAAAAAAACATCAATCAGGGTCCTGCTTTTAGTAATTCTAGCTAGGCCTGACTGACGCCGCGACATCATCCGCGTTGGGCATGACTGACTACTAACGAACGAGAGAGCCAGCCGAGCTTCAGCAGCGCTGCTACTCTAGCAGGAACACTAGAGAGAGTTGGAGGGAAAGGCACAAGGTTCCCGTGCTCGACCTCCTCCCAGCCCAGCTCATTGAAAGACCCGAAGGGTTTGGTTTGGTTGTTGGTTGGTTGGTGCGTACGCGTGTCAAGCGATCGGAAGAAGGCGGGAAAAATACACGGTGGAAAAATACACTCCTTGTAAGACATCTGGCTATATTGTGACTGTTCATGGTTCGGGGTACCGTAATACCCCGGATATAAGACCCCCTCCAGTTGCAGACCCCCTCCCCCTAGAGAGTTGGTCGTTTTATTGGCAAAGAATGCTATTCTGATAGTTTTTCTGCCCCTTTCCACACCAAATCCCATAAAATTTTCATTAATGAAGGGTACAGCCAGTCACAAAAGCACATATACGCATCATCTTGTCAATTTCGTGTAATAATTTTGAATGCTAAACACGAATTTCATTGCGCGTACTCCCTTTGAATGCTAAAAACGAAGCACATAGTGTTGACATGTATGGCTTCCAAAACACAAGTAGTATACTTGACCTTATGATAAGACCCGGGTCTTATAAAATGTAGCCAACTGTTAAGAACCCCCCTCATTTTGGGGGTGGGATTCTTATAATACCCCCGGGTCTTATATCCGGGGTATTACGGTATCACAATTATTAGTACCAATTATGGTTTCTGAGTATCACAGTCAATCACGAATACTGGTTTCGGTTCGGAGTACCACAATTAATCACGAACAGGGTTTGTGACACTTTCTTTCTTGACATGTCACGGCAGGAATGTACCCTTAGGCAACAACTCAAGAGCTTGAAAACGAGCCTATAAGGTAAGCAAGGGCAGTGGCAGCTGGAGCCACCTAGCAGCACTTTAGCAGCCATCGCTTCTAAACAAGTGGCAACGGGCCCTCTCCCTTCTCTACCAACTGCTCCCCAAGTCAGCCGCCGCAGCCTAGTGCTGTGCTACCTCCGGTTCTGCAGAGAACGGGGCGGGGCTGCTGCAAGAATGCCCATAGATGCTGGAACCTCACCTCCTTACTTTCAGCCCATTCCTGCAGCATCAGCAAGCCTCCCTCACGGAGCCACTGACCTGCTTACCACCACCACCTCACACACGCTCTCCTATCGTCTGTCACGCCTTGCCCTTCGCCACTCTCCCTCTCCTCCACACCACCCCTCCGTTTCCCCTCTCGGCCCTCTGTCTCAGTGTTTGTCTGTCTCGTGGCCTTGTTGCTCCCTAAGCAGCTCAACCACCCACGCCATGCCAACCGCACATCCCAACCTCACGTTCCTGCAGTATCAACAAGCATCCCTCAGGGAGAGCCACTGACATGCGTACCGCTCCACACCCACTCCTATCTGCCCTCTCGCCTTGCCCTTCGCCACTCTCCATCTCCTCCACGCCACCCCTCCGCCCTGTTGCCCGTCTCGGCCGCTTCTGTGTGCCAGTCTCAGCCCTGTCAGTCGTCACGCTTTAATCGCTCCCTCAGTTGCTCACTTCCCTTCCCAAGCACCCTGCATTCATGCCCTCTTGCCTCACTCCGTCTCATTCTCACAGAGACTTCTGAATTCTCACTGTCCCCTCCCCCTGTCCCCTTATCGCCCTCGCTCTCGTCCCAACACACCCCCATCGCACTTTCCCCTTCTTACGTCCCACAGCTTTCTTCCCCCATCTTCCTTCTCACCCTCAAACCTTACTCCTCACAACCACCCGACCACCCCCCACACCCCGCTTCGCCTTCTCCCGCTCAGCATCGCGCCCCATCTTCACATATAGCCGCACCATCTCATCCATACTCACCCCTATCTCCCCATCCACCCTCTCCCGATGGCACACTATCACCCCCTCCTCCCGGCACCCCGCATCCCTCGGACCCGCGTCATACTCGGGAATGGGCAGCAGCGGCGTCATGTCTATAAGCGTCTCCGCTATAAGCCCCGACTGGTTAACGAATATAGGCGTGCCGCGCGGAATCACAATGTCCTCGTCGAGAATCTCCACCACCACGTCCACACTGGTTAGGCTCGGCCGGACCGCCACCACCGAGCCTACGGCGATGCCTCGCATGCGCACGGGCGTGCCCACGAGGATGCCGCACGCCTTGGGAAACCTCACCACCGCTGTGTACCGCGCTGGTGCCACTCCCCCTCGCCTGCCCCCTTGCACCTCGTAGTACTGACGCCTCTGAGGTGCTTTCTGCTGCTGCTGTTCCAACTGGAGCTGTGGTTGCTGCTGCTGCTGCTGCTCTTGAAACCCTTGCTCTCTTTGCTGCGCCGATTTACCCAGCACTACCTCCCCGGCCTCAGCCCGAGTCTCGGCCGCAGCTCCGGCATCCAAACCTGGCTTGCTAGACCTGTTGTCTACCGCGACTGAGGCTAGCGTACTCGGTTTGGGGTCAGCTGCGGTTATCACAGCAGCGTGGGCAGGAGGCGGGAGCAAAAGCGATCTGAGAGAGACACGTGGCAGCACGCCAGTGGAACGCAGGGCAGCCGCGAGCCAAATGACCGTCGCTGTCGCCACCGCCGCGCCCGCCGCTTTTAACGGAGCTGAGGGGGACGATAAAGACGAGAATGTAGCCAGAAGCACTTGGGAGATCCGCGGTTTATGCTCCTCCTGCGAGGAACCCAATAACGAGGACGGCTCGTCGCCGCTGTGTCGGTCGCTGTGCGCGCTGCAAGCCGTTCCAAGTCGCCGCTGCAGTCGCGTTTCACGGCTCCCGCCACGAAATTTCGCAGCGTCTACATCGTCAGGATCGCATAGACGACGAGAAGTTCGCGACGTACGGTCCACGCGGGATGGCCCGTGGCGACAGCCGCGCGGGAGAGACGAGCCGAAGCGCGTCGAGAACGAGGAACGCTGAGAAGCTGCTCGCAGGGTGGAATGTCGTTGGCTAGGAGAAGGCAACGCGGCGACGCCTGGCGGCGAGGCTGAAGCGCAGGGCCAAGAAACGGTCGAGCGGCGACGGAGGGGAGAGGATTGCTGCGGCGGAGACGAAAATGCAGGCGATGGTCTTACTGAGGGAGAACGAGGAGTTTGAGAGGAAAGGATCTGCGGCGATAGTGTGGTAAAGGGAAGCGGGGAACGCGCTACGGGTACAGCAGCCATAGTGTGAGCGCTGAGAAGTTGGAGTGTGGTGGTGTGGGAAGGGATGAAGATAAAACGACTGAAGTGGAGGAAGGGTGAGGAAGAAGTGCAAGAAATGGCAGCCGAGAAAGGCGGAGAAATCGGAGAGTAGCTTCGTACTGTACACCAAGAAATTGGGCATATATACAGCAAATTGTTATGACTGCGCGGGTTTCACAAACGGGCTGCACTCAGGAGAACTACAGAATTTGTACTAAAGCCCTCTGAATGGAAGAATAAAGAGGCTAGAAATAGGCAGAGCCGAGCTGGGCGTGGATGTCGGGGTAACCGAGGCTAGGGGAGGTGACGATTGGTGCGGTGGCGCCTCGTGAGTGGTTCGGGGTGAAATTGTGGCCGAACCAACTAACACAAAAACGTCGGAACATCCTCGTTAAGGTAATCTACACAAATGTTTTAATTAACTTCTGGCGAGGCTGGCGGAAATGATAAGCTGCATTCGAATCTGATCATTTCACTTTGGGAGAAAAATATGGCGCTGCTAATATGAATCTATGTGTAAAAACTGTTTCTAAATCTATATAAATATCTATACTTTGCAAGATTCTTTTTTAAGGACGTGGTACACCGTACAATGCATACATTCACAGTCGTAACTGACTATGTAGGCTCCTCATTCAACATGATATTCACTCGTAACGAATCTTCCCATATCGAGTCGAGCAGCAACCTCGCCAGGTTCACTGCATTTGGCGGAGGGAGTCGGTGTGCCTCCAGCAATCTTGGATCGTCTCGTTGAGCCAAAAGCACAGCATTTTCCTCCCTTCCCTCCTTTCTCCTCCCTTCTCGACCCGCTCGCCTTCGGAATAATCAACTCACCATCGTACCGTTCATGGATCTATTATTACGACAACGATTTCGACCGCAGTTCTCTCCATTCTTCTCGCCGACACACACGTGACGGCGCTCTTAGAGCAGCAGCAGGCACACTGTTGCATCCTGACTTTCGCATGCAGCGAGCCAGCCGCATAGCAGCGAGCGCCGCCAGCTTCACCCGAGCAGTTGCCTCCGTTCCGCTGCGACGCCTCGTCGCATCCATGGCGGAATTCACCACCGTGCCGCCCCGCGAGGCCAAGGCGCTCCTCGAGACCTCCCACACCTTCCTCGACGTCAGGTCGCTTCTCCCGCCCTTTCCGCCCTTTCCGCCCTTTTGGGGCTCCATTCGTTCCGCCGCGCCCCCATCGTAGTCCGCGGCGCGCCCTCCCCACCTTCCGCGATCTCTCTCAATTCCGCGTCATACCGACTTGTAGAAATGGGTTGGCGATGAGCGACGCAATCTCTGATTGTGCTGGTTACCAGTCACGCGGCGCGCGCCGTCTCATTCAAACGAGCCCCTTCGACTGCCACCCCTCCGCTCACTTCGCTTTATTTCTGCCATTTTGATTCCGAGTCTCGTTCGTACAGCTGCTTAGGTCGAAATTGCGCTTTCGTTCGCAAATCCAACACACCTGACGCAAATTCCACACACCTGACGCAAATCCCACACACCTGATGCAAATCCCACACACCTGATGCAAATCCCACACACCTGATGCAAATCCCACACACCTGATGCAAATCCCACACACCTGATGCAAATCCCACACACCTGATGCAAATCCCACACACCTGATGCAAATCCCACACACCTGATGCAAATCCCACACACCTGACGATCGAAATTGCACTTTCATTCTCAATCCATTTCTGACTTCCCGCCGTTCCACTTTGGTGACATGGCAGGACGGAGGAGGAATTCGCCAAGAGCCACGTGGAAGGTGCTGTGAACGTCGCAGTGATGACTGGCGATCCCCATAAAGGTGATGTGGACGCTGCGTGCACACATGCGGACATGCACACATGCGTACATGCACACATTCATACACGCACACATGCATACATACACACATGCGTACACGCATACACGCATACATACACACATGCATACGTGCATAAATGCACACTTGCTCACATGCACACTTGCTCACATGCACACTTGCTCACATGCACACTTTCATACGTGTACACATGCGTATGTGCACCCATGCGCGCACGTTCACACGCGCACATGAATACATGCATACATGCACACACACGCACACACACACACGCACACGCGCGTGCGTGCGCGCGTGTACACATGCACACATGCGCACATGCATACGTTTATGAATTCATGCGGCATGCATTGGACTCGACTAACAATGCACATGCAAATCTGACCGCATGCTTTTTCAGGCATGCTCACTTCCGTGTGCAAGCCATGCGCTTTCATGTGGCTCACCCCGTCACCTGCTCCCTCACACTCTTCCGTGTGTTGTTGCTGTGCGGCCCCCATCCCATCAACGCATCACCTCATCACCCCATCATCCATCACCCCATCGTCCATCACGCCATCATGCCATCACCCCATCATCCATCACGCCATCACCCCATCATCCATCACCCCATCGTCCATCACGCCATCATGCCATCACTCACTCACCACGCCAGGCGCCAGTGAGAAGCGCAGCGACTTTCTGGACATTGTGAGGAGCAAGTTTCAGCCCGACACACCCCTCGTCGTGGTGCGCCCATCGCTCTACCTATTCTCTCTTCATCTTTCTCCTTCTGCACCTCTCTCCTGCTGCACCTCTCGCCCTCTGCAGAATTCTCTCCTGCTGCACCTCTCTCTGCAGAATTCTCTCTCTACCTCCTCTTCTCTGCACCTCTCTCCGTCTGCTGCTCTTTCTTTTCATTCCACCGACCCATCCACTATTCTCTCACCTCACAATCCCCTCCAGGCTTCGATTCCCATGTCCTTCTCTCTCTTCTCTTACCAGCCGTTGTTTTTTTTTCTCTTCTCGTCTGTGCCTCGTCCGTCCCACCATTTTCTGCATTGTTAACGTTCCTTTGGCCCCTGTTGACATCCCTGCTCTTCCTCTCCTTGGCCCTTGTCAACTACCCTGCTACCCCCTCTCCATCTCGTGGGCATGCAGTCGTGCGGGGCGGGGCGAAGGGCTGCGGTTGCAGCAGCAGACCTAGTGGAAGCGGTAAGGCATGGGGACGCGGATGGGGATGGGGATGGGGATGGGTGGTGGGGAGGGGATGGGATAGGGTGGGGACGGGATTGGAACGGGATGGGATGGGGATGGGATTGGGGAATGGGATGGGAATGGAGATGGGGGTGGGGGTGGTAATGGGGATGGGGAGAGGGAGGGGGGCGCAAGGGCTGAGAGGGTATGGTATTGTATGGGACACGAGAGCTGCTGTTGCAGCAACACATGTGGTCCAGGCAGTATGTGGTGGGGCATTGAGGTGGGATCTGGGAGGGGGGTGGAGCACGGGGCAAAGCGCATGCAAGACTAGTTTTGTGTTTGGCTCTGTGACATGTGGCGCGGGGGCAGTATGCGCATAAGGAGGGATGGCACATGAGTGGTTATTTCTGGCCATGGGGACATGCATGTGCATGAAGGGCATGAGGTATGTGCATGTGCATGATGGGCATGGGGTATGTGCATGATGCGTATAGCCTACGTGTACGAGGATGATGGATGCCGGTGGGAGTGTGCAAAAGTATTTTGTCTAAATGGGGCACAGTATGTGCATGGTGGAGTGTGCTGACAAGTCATGTATTGAAGGCTGTGGCTAGACTGGTGTGGGAGTTTGGAGAGTGGAGACTCGCATTGGATAGACTCGTGTCCTCTTTTGATGCTTGGAGCTTCTCTTTTTGTGTACCATGTGCTTTGTGCATGGCCTCATGCACAGCCTCATGCTCAGTCTCATGCTCGGTCTGCCTGCCGCACTTAGCACCATTCCATCCCATCCCATGATCCCATCCCTCCACGCCAATGCTTGGCCTCACCAAGGTGGTCAGCTTGGAGGGTGGATTTTTGAGGCGCCGCAAATGTAGTCATTTCGCACTTAGCAGCATCATTTCATCCCATCCCATTATATCATCCATACAAAATTGCAGGGCTTCACGAAGGTGGTCAGCTTGGAGGGTGGACTCAAGGCATGGAAGGGTGAGGGATTCCCCCTCGTGGAGTGAAGCAGGGCTGTATGCAGGATATGTATGAACCACTAGTGTTTTTCATAAGGAGTTTTGCATCCAATAACGCGGTAGTAGCAGCATCAGGGCAGACACCATGATTTCTATATTAAAGTCAACGGTATATTTGTTGAAAACATGGGAAGAACTGGGTGCTCAACTAATAGTGCACCTAGGTGTACAACATGAGGAATAGAAATTAAAATGTTTGATGTAACAGCTAGCTTGGTGAATAGAGCATCACTTTGTGTCATTCAGGCTTACCAAACATTGTGTTCAGGGTCCTTAAGAAATCAGGTGTCAGATACGGTAGGCCTATCCTGATGAGGAAGTAGAATAATCAGTGTAACTTGCGCATTTTGCTTATAGCGAAACGTTGATAATCAGGATGCCTTGACGATATCATCATGACAAGAGTGTTGCCAAACCCAGCCGGCTCCCCTCGGGTTGGCTAACCTGATATACGTATTTGATATACGTATCGGGTCAAAGCCAAGTTTCTGCCGTTGGCGAAGCTGACTGGGGGGTTTCTCCAGGCCAAAGCCATTTTCCACTTACCAGATTTCACTTGCCCAAGCAGTCCCATCTTCCATGACCATTTCTCCTCTACACGTTTTTTCCCCCCCTGTTTGTTTTTCCAACGTGCGTTTTCGTGGTAGAGTCAGGAGCGAGTGGGCGGAGGAGAAAGCGATGGGGATACCGTGCTGCAGCTTGCGTGAAAGAGAAGTTCGAGCTCTACGCCACGAACAAAAACGTCCACCGATCAAGTGAGCCGGCAGCAGCAGTGCCCTTTTACAAATGATTCTCATGGAAACCCCATTTGATTTTCGGGCAACATATGTACAGTCAAACAAGCGGTGTTCAGTGCAAAATGGCTTGTGATGAGTCAACGCCAGTTATATTGGCCTTTTCCTATTACAGTTTGCAAAGTATTTTGCTAGACAACAAAACACAGTGGCTAAGGGTTGTCTAGGGTTCTCCACGCGGTCTTGTTGGGGTGGGGCGGTTGCCCATAAACTACCACCCGGACAGTCGGTTCGGAGGAGCCGAGTGTATCCAGGGCTGGGAGGCTGGGCAATTTGGCGAGCTTCGTGTAAATTAGGAATTGGAGCCCTCAGTAACGTTAGGGCGTGTAGTGTTTTATTCGAACTGTCAAATGTCCGGACAAGCTTGTCCGGACAAGTTCCGTCCGGACCTTTATTGTATAACCTTTTATGTTTTCGAAAACGCAGTGCACGACATGTTTACGACCTGTAAGGACACGTGATGTCAGAGTTCGCGCCCCGATGAAAGCGCACCAGAATCGGACGGTCCGAGTTGCAACCGGACGCTGAAGGGACGAAAATAATCGCCAGAAACGTAAAAATTTGTCGCAGTCCGTGCGAATCGACGTCGCAAATTGACTTGCGATTTCAAACGTGTATTTCAGCGAAAACAGTTACCTTTTAATCATCCGGACGTCACCTCTCCGGTAGGTTCAAGAAAACGTTACACGCCCTTATCGTCATTGTGACCCCCCTGAGAAACCCCTTTGTGCTTCAGTTCAGACACATTTTCATCCTGACAGGCGCACACTTAGCTGGCTAGCATACCGCATAGTTTCTTGTAACAGCCATACTATGGTGACTCCTAGTTTCGAGCTCACACTTGAAAAGATACGTTTGCAATTGGGTACAAGTAACTTGCATGATCATCGCGACGGATTATCATTTCGAAGCGATGGCCCTTCAGCTCGGCGTGCTGATCCTGCTGACGTGTGTTGCAATCTCACGACGGGTAGACTGCGTCCCCCTAGCAACTTCCCAGGGTGTGTAATCGACGCGTGCCTAGCGCTACTAGCGCCGCAGTTGCCGTTTTGAATCAAATGTGCTACCGCCGTTCAGTTTACACTCACCCAACGATTGTTAACATCCCGCTGACCCTAACTTATCTGTCTCGCCTCGCTGACTTGGGAGTATTAGTCGCACCACAATCATCACTGCGGCTCCCAAATCTATCCCAATCGTGTCCCACCTTATAAATAGTGTTGTTCATTCATTTATTTCCCTCCTCTCTCTCCTCCAATAACAATAATTTCTTATTTGCGTGTGACATTGTTTAGTGGAAACTACACCACGCCAAGTGCGATGATCGCACTTTGTAGTTGAACTCCATACGCCCTCGCAGCAGTTGTAAGGACGAGTGGAGTTTGTAAAGGTGGGAGATAGTGAATGCGACACGGAAATCCGTTTCACATGGTTCTAGGTCTGCTGTACAGCCGAATTTAGGTCTTAGGCGTTTGTATAGTTGGTGCCTCTTAGGACACAAACCTTATCCTGACTTTCTGACCCCTCCTCTACCACCACTCTTTGCAGTGCGGCATGCCAGCCTTGAAGGCAGTGGGATGTGCTAACCAAAGTCCCGATATCTTTCCACGACCCCGCCCTTCATTCCACCTGCTGGCGGCAGGGCCGGTCCTGCTTAACTGTCAAAAAGGCATGGACACTACTAAGCCTCAATCCCCCCATGCATGGGGGTCAACATGTTAACGGGAAAGGCAGCATCAAGCAGTCTTCCCTAATTCTACCATATCACGTGCGTTCATACAATGCACCCGCCCGCCTGCAGCTTCCACCTCCCAGTCTGGCGGCCTCTCAGCAGCAGCCATTGCTGGTATTGCCGTGTCTGCTGTGGCCTCCCTGCTGCTGCTGATTGGCGTGCTTCTATGCTGGAGGGGCTACACGAAAGAGGCAGCACGAGGAGCAGCTGCAGTACACAACGACGGGATCGAAGTGCAAATGAAACCTGAAGGTACGATGCAGTCCAGGAACCCTCCCTCCTGCACTCCGCCCATTCCTTCCTCACTGTGTGCTGATCATCATAAGGCAGAGGAACATGTAGGCATTAGCAATAGGTAAGGCCATGTTACACTAAGCAGATGCATTCTCCAAGCCATGGTTCAACTACCCAACACGCATATGCAAAGCCGTGAGACTGAAACCTGTGCATGTGCTCTGATGCTGTATCCTTTGGGGCTCATACCATAAAGGAGCAGGTCTGGCAGGCAGTGTGGCGGCGGCTCATTGAAGCTTTTAGGCGCCTCAAAAACCTGTGCAAGTGCTCTGATGCTGTATCCTTGGGGCTCATACCATAAACGAGCAGGTCTGGCTGGCACTGTGGCGACTCTTCAACAGTCCATTCGAGCACACTTCGTGCTTACGCCAGGCTCCTTCTTTTACTCATTCCATGAACCTGCAGGTCTGGCGGGCAGCGTGGCGGCGTGGCACTGCACGGAGTACTCCCTGGAGGAAGTGCTCACAGCCACCAGCAACTGGGCGAGTGACAACCAGCTGAGGTCGGGCTCATTTGGTGACGTGTACAAGGGCGTGTCTCCGCGCGATGGCACCACACTGTGGGCCGTCAAGCGAGCAAAACTGCTCGATGCTGACTTCCAGCGGGAGGTGAGAATCCTTCCCTGCCGCATGCCTTGACCATGCAGGTAGCTCTCTGCCATTGCAAAAGCACGTATTCCTTGAACGCCATTACGTGAGTATTTCACATGCAGTTTATACTACGTACGGAGCTCAGCAGCTGGAGTGGAGCTAACTATTAAAACCCAGGGTCCACAGGTTTCAAAGGTAGGAAGGTTGGTTGGACTTTGTGACCCAACCAAAGGTAGGAAGGATGAGGCAACTTCGGGATACTTGAGACTCCGGTTTTAAAGTTGATGCCATGTGGCTGTCGCAGGTCCGACACATGGCCGACAAGAACCATCCCGACGTTGTGCGGCTACTTGGGTTTGCCATTGGCGGGGGCATAAAGACACAGCCAGAGCATGTCTTGATCTATGAGTTTGTTTCAAATGGTAGTCTTGACAAGTGGATCAAAACAGGTAATGATGTCGCCATGAACCAAGATCATTTTTAGCTTTTCTTTCATGAGAGAATGGATTATCGTGTTTCTTCCATGACGTTGTGTCACTCGTATCGTGTACTCTTGCAGAAGCTCCCTTCCGCCTCACCTTGAAGCAGCAGCTGGACATCCTTATTGGTGCTGCACGTGGCTTGGCGTACCTCCACAGCTTTGGACTAGTGCATCGCGACATCAAACCCGCCAACATCCTCCTCACACAAAACATGCAGGCAAGCCCTTTACAATTGCCAAACCAGAACTGAGGTATCATTTCCTAGGGATGAGTGTAATTTCAGGCAAATGCATGCAACACTCACTATAAGAGAGCTGTGTGCAACACAGTTGCATGTAACAGGAGTTTCGACAATATTTGGTGGGACAACAGAGCTGACTCTTAGTTGTGGAATCGGCTTGAAGACACCTGTTTGCCTGTCTGTACTTCATTCATGGAGTTCCTCTTCCCTCGTGTCATGCCGTCCATCAGGCTAAGGTTGCTGAATTCGGACTTGTGACAGTGGAGGAGGGTATGAGCACGGGGACCACTCGAGTCATGGGAACACCAGGCTATGTGGATCCCATCTACACGCAGAGGTCAAAGGCAACCAGGGCCAGTGATGTTTACAGGTGAACTTGCTTAAGAAAAAGCTGATAAAACTGCTGAATTTGGAGGTGATTAAGGCGATCAAGTGCAGAATACATCTCATGTTTCTGTGCACTTGCTTCTCATGTTTGTGTGCACTTGGTTCTCATGTTTGCAGACTGATTCTGCAAATGTTTATTGGTCAGGTGCTTCATCCATCATGCATTGATCTTGCGCTTATGCCACTGCACCTTCATCATGCTCTATCTCCTAACACATGAACCATGGCCACCGTATATTAAAATGCGATAACCACCCCAGCTTCTATCAACCATCCCACCGTCGGTGCAGCTTCGGTGTGCTCATGCTTGTGGTGCTCACTGGACGAAGGCCGTTGAGTATTGTTGATGGAGAGAGCGTGCATATTCTGGCATGGGTAAGACTCACCGTTGATTGGCATGCACATGGCATCGCTGTTACATACGAAATGAATGATGCACATAGCACCAACATGGCACAAGGCAGTACTATTCCACAAAGTGGCACTATTGCGCATGATACATTGGTGAGCATAATATGAGAGACGAAATCGCAGATGCTGCGGCTTGAACCTACAACCTCTAAGAATAAAGGTGAGAAGATCCACACTGGGAGCACACGGCGTGAGCATTGCACATGGCACCGACACTGCACATGGCATCAGTATTACACGAGCCACCACTATTGCTCATGGCACCAATATTGCATTCAACATTGCCAATTCCAAAATAGCGCTGGTTCACCCAATCAAAGAAATGCAAGCAGGAAGCGTTGTATTGTGTCTTTGTAAAATCTTGCTTACAACCTGCTGCCTTCCCCGCCTTTTCGAATACACCAGGTGGAGGCTTGCCTTTCTTCTGGCACCCCGGACCGCCTCAAGGAACTGCTGATGAGCATGGACGCCCCGGATGATGCTGTGCTGCGCCTGGCCCAGCTTGCTCTCAGCTGCACTGTGCAGTGCACTGCAAGCCGACCCACCATGGCAGAAATTTCCAATGAGCTGCAGGGAGTCAGGAACGAGGTGGTGGGGAAAGTGGAGCTCAGTGCTGCGGTTAAAGTGGATGCTCTAGTGAAGGAGATGAGAGGGGCGTCTCCAATGGATGCTCACTTGAGTGAGATCAATGAACTCCTGCACGGAGATTCCTTTGACGATCCGTGATTCACGTGGCCTGTACTCCCGCAGGTTTCAGGCTTGGTGCTCAGAATGGTCGTGTTTCATTGTGGATATGAAGGGTTTAGTTCTGGAGATGAGGTGTTTCATTCTAAGGGGGTTCATTTTAGATATGACGTGTTTCGTTCTGGATTTTACAGTGGTGATGCGGGAGATGGTGTGGGAAAAAAAGGCAGTGTGGCATTATTATTTGCAACAAATTAAGGACAGAGTGTGACAATCTACGTGTGCTAACAACTGGTTGGCTACCTGTATGGATGAAGTTTGCCAATGCAGACGCTTTTGACACGTCTCAGGGCTTGTTGTAAACATGGGCATAGCCGAACCTAAGTTCGGTTTGGCCTTTCTGCTTTGAGTCAATCATAGCCAAACATATTGCTAAGCGCAATGGGATGACCTGCCTAAGCGCATTATTGTACAGACGTTAGGTGCGGTTGGTCTTTATTTGCCGAGGTGCACAAAACCTTTAGTGCAGCTAAGCTAAGTACCCATTCCATCATATCTACAAAGTACTAGCTCTAGTGCATGATCGCTAGTACTATTTGGCTAAGTGACCACCGGCCTGGCAAATTTGCAACTTTGGGGCTATCAGTTAAATCCCCGAAAACAATCCACTCACTGTCTAGAATACCCATTCCAGCCACCAGCTTAAGTTCACCATCCCACCTCACTTCAACCCCCCACATCTAGGTACACCCAGCCCAACCATCAGCCAAGGTTCACCATTCCACATCACATCTAGGTATACCCAGCCCAACCATCAGCCAAGGTTCACCATTCCACATCACATCTAGGTATACCCAGCCCAACCATCAGCCGAGGTTCACCATTCCACATCACATCTAGGTATACCCAGCCCAACCATCAGCCAAGGTTCACCATTCCACATCACATCTAGGTATACCCAGCCCAACCATAAGCCAAGGTTCACCATTCCACATCACATCTAGGTACACCCAGCCCAACCATCAGCCAAGGTTCACCATTCCACATCACATCTAGGTACACCCAGCCCAACCATCAGCCAAGGTTCACCATTCCACATCACATCTAGGTATACCCAGCCCAACCATCAGCCAAGGTTCACCATTCCACATCACATCTAGGTATACCCAGCCCAACCATCAGCCAAGGTTCACCATTCCACATCACATCTAGGTACACCCAGCCCAACCATCAGCCAAGGTTCACCATTCCACATCACATCTAGGTACACCCAGCCCAACCATCAGCCAAGGTTCACCATTCCGCATCACTTCTAGGTATACCCAGCCCAACCATCAGCCAAGGTTCACCATTCCACATCACATCTAGGTATACCCAGCCCAACCATCAGCCAAGGTTCACCATTCCACATCACATCTAGGTATACCCAGCCCAACCATCAGCCAAGGTTCACCATTCCACATCACATCTAGGTATACCCAGCCCAACCATCAGCCAAGGTTCACCATTCCACATCACATCTAGGTATACCCAGCCCAACCATCAGCCAAGGTTCACCATTCCACATCACATCTAGGTACACCCAGCCCAACCATCAGCCAAGGTTCACCATTCCACATCACATCTAGGTACACCCAGCCCAACCATCAGCCAAGGTTCACCATTCCACATCACATCTAGGTATACCCAGCCCAACCATCAGCCAAGGTTCACCATTCCACATCACATCTAGGTATACCCAGCCCAACCATCAGCCAAGGTTCACCATTCCACATCACATCTAGGTACACCCAGCCCAACCATCAGCCAAGGTTCACCATTCCACATCACATCTAGGTACACCCAGCCCAACCATCAGCCAAGGTTCACCATTCCGCATCACTTCTAGGTATACCCAGCCCAACCATCAGCCAAGGTTCACCATTCCACATCACATCTAGGTATACCCAGCCCAACCATCAGCCAAGGTTCACCATTCCACATCACATCTAGGTATACCCAGCCCAACCATCAGCCAAGGTTCACCATTCCACATCACATCTAGGTATACCCAGCCCAACCATCAGCCAAGGTTCACCATTCCACATCACATCTAGGTATACCCAGCCCAACCATCAGCCAAGGTTCACCATTCCACATCACATCTAGGTACACCCAGCCCAACCATCAGCAAAGGTTCACCATTCCACATCACATCTAGGTATACCCAGCCCAACCATCAGCCAAGGTTCACCATTCCGCATCACTTCTAGGTATACCCAGCCCAACCATCAGCCAAGGTTCACCATTCCACATCACATCTAGGTATACCCAGCCCAACCATCAGCCAAGGTTCACCATTCCACATCACATCTAGGTATACCCAGCCCAACCATCAGCCAAGGTTCACCATTCCACATCACATCTAGGTATACCCAGCCAAACCATCAGCCAAGGTTCACCATTCCACATCACATCTAGGTATACCCAGCCCATCCATCAGCCAAGGTTCACCATTCCACATCACATCTAAGTATACCCAGCCAACCATCAGCCAAGGTTCAACATTCCACATCACATCTATTTATACCCAGCCCAACCATCAGCCAAGGTTCACCATTTCACATCACATCTAGGTATACCCAGCCCAACCATCAGCCAAGGTTCACCATTCCACATCACATCTAGGTACACCCAGCCCAACCATCAGCCAAGGTTCACCATTCCACATCACATCTAGGTAGACCCAGCCCAACCATCAGCCAAGGTTCAACATTTCACATCACATCTATTTATACCCAGCCCAACCATCAGCCAAGGTTCACCATTCCACATCACATCTAGGTATACCCAGCACAACCATCAGCCAAGGTTCACCATTCCACATCACATCTAGGTATACCCAGCCCAACCATCAGCCAAGGTTCACCATTCCACATCACATCTAGGTACACCCAGCCCAACCATCAGCCAAGGTTCACCATTCCACATCACATCTAGGTATACCCAGCCCAACCATCAGCCAAGGTTCACCATTCCACATCACATCTAGGACCATCAGCCAAGGTTCACCATTCCACATCACATCTAGGTACACCCAGCCCAACCATCAGCCAAGGTTCACCATTCCACATCACATCTAGGTACACCCAGCCCAACCATCAGCCAAGGTTCACCATTCCACATCACATCTAGGTATACCCAGCCCAACCATCAGTCAAGGTTCACCATTCCACATCACATCTAGGTATACCCAGCCCAACCA